CTGGTCAAAAAAGTGTAAATGTTGTAGTGCAGTAGAACAGAAGAAAATAAAGCATTCAACAGACAGTTGCAAAGATAAAAATTTTGATTAAAAGTGGAGCTGCTGGTACAAAAAAACATTGATTTAGGTCAGTAACAGTAATTTTTTTTAATAAATTTTATTAGAAACGCATTTTTCTTCTGCTAACAGCATTAAAGCCGATAAAAGTATGTAAGCCCAACACTATTCACAAAAAGGCTAAAAAAGCAAAAGTAACAAATTATTAAAATTTTATTATAAAAAGGAAATAAGTAAAGCATTGGAACATTTTTGCGTTAGATGTTTAGAATACGAAGATGAAATTGGTTGCAGTTGTTAAGTAACAACAATATTTCGATTCGTTTTTCTCTCTTTTTTTCTTATTTTACTTTTTTTTTCTTCTTAGTCTCAGCATCATATCTGTCCTGCAAAGATTATCTTTAAAATTTCAGACATATCTGGAATTTTTTTTTGCTTTTATTTTTGCAACAACAACAGAGTAAGCTCTAAAAAATCTTCAGTTAGCTGAACAGATTACTGGAGGATGAGTGCTGTCAAGGATGGCAGGTAACCAGAGGGTGAAAACCACGTACCCAAAATCGTTCATTTATGCGTGTAATGTTTGCTTAAGAAAGTTTTATTTGCACAGCAAACTAGCATCAGTTACAGAGACGTTGACGACAACTTCACTTTTAAGGGTTTCCAATCTGTAGTTCACTAAACCCTCAACTTTTAAGTTTCCTTTTCTACACACTTCTTTGCAACTCGCGAAGGTTGTCTGTGATTTTTGATATAAAGGACAGAGGAACGAAAGCTGTGGATATGCTTTGAACTGGTCAGTGGCAGAGCACTGTGTCGAATGCGTCCCAAATTACTCACTTTTATTTCCAGAGTACTAGCCGGCTGTCCAGACAACAAATGTTGTTTTAATTAGAAAAACGAAAATGAATTCGGTGAAATTCTTGGATGTTTACTCCTCCACTACCCTGGCTTATGAGTTCCGCTTTTCATTTCTTTCGACATCGTTTTTGCCAGGAATTTCAGCCAGTTTATTCCGTCTCATTCTATTGCTGCTCTAGAGATGACATTTTATTGTTATTTCGTTTTTTTTTCGGTTTCGTTGGTGTTACACAACAGTTCCCTGATTAATTTTTGCGATGTAAACGAGGAGAGAAATGTTCTTAAAGCCGGTGTAAGACACATTGATGATGGCAGCAAAAATAACTGTATGCTTAACTGTAATTTTATTTGACTTCTACCGCGTTACTTTTTGTCAGGCCATCAAAAGCGATATAACAGCAACAAAAAAATTTCATAGTTGTTGTAGCAAAATGTATAAGTCTTGAAAAGTTAAATATTTGGTGATAAAATAAAAAATTTAAACTTCACCGGTCAAATTCTTTCTTTCATCATCGTCTTTTTCAATCATTTTCAAGTATTCTTCTCATTTTACCAAAAAATTAATGAAAAAAAGAAGGAAATCTATTTATAGTTGCTAAATTTTTTTTCAGTAGAAAAAAAATTGTAACATTTCTGTAAAACTTTTTATGAAATGATTCATTGTTATTCTTAACAAAAATGATTGGAAGAAACTTCTTTGTACAGAAAAAAACCGCACCAACCAGCTTAACGCTTTTGGCTGTGATGTTTGACGTTGCTGTAAGCTGAGAAATTTTCCAATGGAAAGGCCGTTGAAAATGAGGCTAGAAAAATAACGTGCCAAACGCTATGGTTTAATGATTGCTGTTAAGAAACCATCTTTCAAATTAGCTTTATTACAGCTTACTGATGTTCCATTGGACTTTGTTACCAACTAAATGCTACCATCCAATAATCCAGTTTCTACTGTTCCAGCTCTCCCCCAATCACTTTGGTGATTTCAGAAAACAGGTGAAGAAAACTGTAATGAACTACTGTCTATTGCTCTAAAGTGTAAGATGGTTACGTTGATTTTGTTTAATTTACGGATAACAATGATCCCTTACTGCCAATTGTTGATGAAAAGAAAAAAGCATCTAGGTTATTGTTCCACCCATTATGTTTCAATTAACTCATTCGCATAGAACAGTCAGCAGTATTGGAATGTAGCGGCAATGAGGTACTGAAAAAAAAAAAAAGAACCGAAAACTGCATGCATCCAACCACCTATAATTTGATCATTCAACTAGCTGTGCAGTCTTTAGTCTTTCGCTGTGCAGATAAATTTATTCAAACATTAAAAAGAACCTGTTTTTTTTCTCTTTGTCATCATTCTTAACATTTACTAATGCTTCCAATATTTGTGTGGACGTGTCGCAGGTTTCATTCTTTTTCATTTCGAATAGATTACTGCAAAAAATTCAACAGAAGAAAAAAATTATTCTTGCCTCTTTTCAGCAACCTTCTCTTTCTAATGTCCTTGTTGTTTTATCTCAACTATTATTAAGGTACCTCTTCTTTCTTTCCTTTCTTTTTCTTCCAAATATACAAAAATACTGTTGTAAATATTGACAGACAAGGCAAATAATTTCTTGCAAACTAGGACTAACATATTTAGAAAAATTTGCACAGTGATTCTAAAATTTATGTTTGCAAAATATTGAACTGAATTTGCCAGGTGCTTTCAATATGCTTCCTCAGCAGTACGTTTGGTTGTTCCAATAAACAACATACGTCAGCCAAAATTGGCAAGCACAGCGTTTTGAGTTCCGGCTGAACAGCGTTGGAAGGAACGAGGCAATGCCATAGTATTTGAGTACTTGACAATTCCAGTCTGTACTCTTTACTACCCCGTTACTTTACCACTCAAATACAGTTAAGTATATTTTATCCACTTTAATTTTCATTCTATCAGACATTAGCAGATGTAAGAAACAAGCGAACCTCGTGATCTACCGATTTTTAGCGATTTCGCCGTGGCAGATGTGCAATTACATTTTTTATTGTTTTTTTCTGCATTTCTTCGCTTTTTTTAAAACTTTCTTCGCCATAGCGGTTTCGCAATGCCCTTCAAACTCGGCGTTTACAAGCCTCGCTTTTTTCTTTGTATCAAACACTTAAATCATACAATCAACTTTACTCCGAAAAAACTGAAATAGTTTATACTTACACGAGATCATAAGTCAGACGTTATACTGTAACCGGTATAAAAAGTGAATTACGAGCGATTTGAAACTGATAAAAGGAACTTTAAGTCATGCGATTATTTCACCACCATGTAGTGCGCAGCGATAACCATAGTTTCAATAATGGAAAATCGGTAAAAATTACTTCTCAATCTGAATCCATCCAAACTAATATTATTCTTAATTGTATAGCTAGATTATGTCTAACGTGGTAGCAGAAATACATTTTAAAGCTCAATTTACATTCGGTAAAAGCTTACGGAAGTTCTCGTGCAATGTAACAGCCTGCTATAGGTGCAGGGAATTCTACCCAGTCCCATCGAAGTTGTTCTTTCCAGCAACTGATTTAGTTTCCCAACCGTCACAACTATTTTCGCATGTACAGAACAATGTATTATTCATTGCGATCCTTTTGCTCACATGGACACAGCTTTCTGTCCAATCAGGGTACAAAGCTAACGGGTCTAAACTGAGCGGAGGTTACAGGAGACCCGGACTCCAGCAGGTTCTCCCGGTCGGTTTGATCACTGGTTGAGTCAGCGGCCGATCGAGTACAATATGTGAATGGGGTAGGGGTGACGTCCGGACTAATTTTTTTGGCAGGTCGCCAACTGCTGAGGGACGGCGATTTACGAGCCATCGACAATGCAACCTCATTGCGCACCCAGCTGCACAAACGGCTAATGTTTGGTTAGTTCAGTGGAGACGATGTCAGTGTTGACATATTCGTAATTCGCTGCAGTTCGATGTACTACATGACATTGCTGAAGATGCTGGAAGGCTTCAGAAATGTGGGTAATCCGTTGAATGACTGTTGGCATGTTTATTGATCCAATCAGTCACTGTTAAAATGCTTGTATTTAGACCTTATATTATATCCTGAGTGATAAAAAAAAAGCCTGTTATTTGAGTAGGATCTGCCAGCGTTAATCTACTGCTTTTAAATTGGCTATTATTTTAAAGCATGGTTTTTTGAATCGGGAAACTTTGCAACTCATTGAGTAACTCATGGGTATGTTTCAGTTTCACATTTTTGTTTTTGAATAATCCTCAAATTTTGAAATGCACCATATGCCGTACCCAGCTTTTTGAAATTTGATTTGTATTGAAACTCTTATAGCTAGTAAGTGGCCAGAGAACACGAACCTAGTGAAAGTCAAGAAGTCTTTTTTCCAGTCTTCAAATAATACTTTTTCCATAGGAAATGTGTGGAAAATTACAAAGAAAAAAAAGAGCTGAAACATCTAAAATAAAGAGAGCTTTAGACAGGGCCTGTCACTGGCAAGAATTTAGCGCACACTTTTTGAAATTTGTATTGCTCGCTTTTTGTTAATTTGGGATGGTGAAAGTTAATTTAGCAGAAAAATATGTTCCCAGCTCCTCTGTTTTCTGCAGCTTGTTTTATGGCTCCATTTATTTTCATACGCAAATTTTTTTTTTTTTTTTTTTTTTTTTTTT